AATATAAGAAATCATTATCAGTGGTAATTAAATAAAAGAGTGACTTTCAATAAGTATTATTTATAATCTATATTGAATAAAAAAAGTTTCTGTTTTATATTTACCACTGTTTCGGAAAATACCGCTGTCCTGGGAAGAGCCAGCAAGAAACCCACCGGGACTTTTTTTAAACATATTTCACTTAACAATAATTTTATTTGCACAATTTTTAAATGAATTTTCATAGAACCAGCATAGTGGCGATCTCCTCATTCCCAAGGTTTATTTTCATTCATGTATACCTTGATAATATATTAAGCCTTTTTGTAAAGTTTTTCTTTAATCATCATCATCATTACAGCCCTTCACAAGTCCACTGCTGAACATAGGCCTCCCCCAAAGAATGCCACAAAACACGGTCCTGAGCCACCTGCATCCATCGACTTCCTGCATGTCTTACCAGGTCGTCACTCCATCTCGTGGGGGGACGCCCTACACTTCGCCTACCGGTACGAGGCTGCCACTCGAGAACCTTTCTTCCCCATCGGTTGTCGGTTCTTCGAGCTATATGGCCGGCCCACTGCCACTTCAGCTTACTAATACGTTGGGCTATGTCGGTCACTCTGGTTCTACTGCGGATATCCTCATTCCTAAGTTTATCACGCAGAGAAACTCCGAGCATAGCCCTCTCCATAGCTCGCTGAGCGACCTTGAGCTTCCTCATACGGCCAGCAGTGAAGGACCACGTCTCAGTTCCGTAAGTCATCACTGGCAACACGCACTGGTTGTACAATTTCGTTTTAAGGTTTTGAGGTATGTCTGACGAGAAGATGTGTCGTAGCTTCCCGAACGCTGCCCAGCCGAGTTGAATCCGTCGATTGACCTCTCTTTAATAAAACTTTTAAACTTCTTTATTGACAAACTATTAACATATTCTGGGATTTTTTGTAAAAGCGTATACACTGCCCCATAAATGATTTACTGATTCTGTGGAGTCTAGTAACTGGTATTACAAGCTTATGTTCGTTCCTAGTATTTAAAGTATGAACATCTTTATTCTTATTAAAGCTATTTATGTTTTTATTTACATACATTAAATTTTCATAAATATGTTGCGATGCCAAAGTTAATATATTTATTTCTTTAAATTTTTCTCTGAAAGACTCTTTACAGTTTGAGTTATAATTGGCCCGTACGGCTCTCTTTTGCAAACCAAATATGACTTCAATATCAGTCGCATTAGCCCATAACAAAATTCCATAAGACATTACGCTATGTAAGTAACTAAAATAAACTAATCTAGCTGTCCCGATTAAAAATTATTAATTTTTGTTCCGATCTACGCAGTATGAACTTAAAGTAACTTGAAGTGTTACAATTGTATGTTTGGGTTTTGATTTAATTTTATTAATTACTAGCTGTTCACCGCGACTTCGCCCGCGTGTAATGTAGGGTTTTAATTATGTTGTGCGGAACCCTAATTCTTTTTCCAAAATATAAGTATCCTTAGTTACTCCTTATAACATCAGCTATCTGCCAGTCAAAGTCCCGTCGAAATCGGTCCAGCCGTTTCGGAGATTAACCGGAATAAACAGACAGACAGACAGACAAAAATTTTTAAAATTGTGTTTTTGTTATAAGTACCTTATATACTTTCATGTGCATTTAGTTAAAACCTGTTATTTTAATATTACAAACAGACACTTCAATTTTATTGATTTCTAGAGATGGGGGTCCCAAGCAGATGGTACCACCCATCCACATTAGATTTGATAGACCACAAATCCTCGCTAAAGAACACCGATTCCTTCCAAGGATGATTCGCGAGGCTATTGAAATCAAAAAACATCCTAATTTCAATAGAGGAGATGGCTGGGTGCTACCATTTGCTTGGGGTCCCTGGAGATCATCTGGAGGTAGCCGTGGTTAACTATGACATTGGGACGTCATATACCTCAGCCCCCCCCCTCCCCCCGTGACCATGGGTGCTAGAAAGTGCTCGAAACTTTGGGAATATAAAATAAGTTAATATACGCGATAAAATCCGTAAAATTAGTTTTATTTAAAAATAACAGTGGTATCCACAAGACGTAACTCCTCCCCATTTAAAAGCACACTACTATTTGAATAATGGTTTCTTGTTTTTACGCGAACGCTACACATTTAAATAAAATTAGTTTTACGGATTTTATCGCGTATATTAACTTATTTTATATTTTTGACGTTTCAAGTACTTTACAGCACCATGGTCATGGGGGTAGTGTTTGAATGTTTAACATTAGCTATTGTACATTTAATGCATCTTGTCTTCGTGCCACAACTATACTACTATATAAAGCTACTACTACTACTACCAGCTACTAGTTTATAGCTGCAGCATGGCTTTACCAAGTATTACATTATAACTTGCCCGTACGGCTCTCTTTTGTAAACCAAATATGGCTTCAATGTCAGTCGCATTACTCCATAGCAAAATTCCATAAGACATTACGCTATGAAAGTAACTAAAATAAACTAATCTAGCTGTCTCAAAATCTGTGAGACTTCTAATCTTTCTTACAGCATATGCTGCAGAACTAAGTCTGCTTGCTAATTTAGATATATAGGGGCCCTATTGAAGTTTCGTGTCAATAGTATTACCAAAATAAACAGTGGTATCCAAAAGACTCAACTCCTCCCAATTTAAGAGCGCATTAGTATTTGAATGTTTAACATTAGCTATTGTACATTTAATACATTTTATCTTATTGAGCAAATTGTTGGCGTTAAACCAATGTACTCATTTTGATAGAGCATTATTTACATTGTCAAAATTATATCATCAGTAAATAATACTATATCGTGATTTTGCCCTACAAGATAAGGTAAGTCATTAATATAGATTAAGAACATAAATGGGCCAAGATTCGAGCCCTGAGGAACGCCCATTTATATTACTGATCCGGAGGAACCTTTAGCGTTGCTAAACTTTTTGAATTCTGTTATTTGAATATGAAGTAATAAGTTTAAGCGGCAAAATTTTTACACCGTAATGTTGTAGTTTCCTGATAAATGTCTCATGATAAACACAATCGAAAGCCTTGGAAAGATCACAAAAAATATATAAGGCATCTTGTAAATTCTCCCAGGTATTAAAAATATATTTCATAAGCTCAACACCGGCGTCAGACGTTGAGCGACCCCTTGTAAAACCAAATTGGTTTTTATGGAGTAATTTATTTGTATTAAAAAAATAGCAATTAATCCAAAATTGTTATTTCAAAAATTTTATCAGAGTTCGTAGTACAGAAATAGGTCTTAAATTAACGTGGTCCAATGTACTACCAGATTTAAATATAGGTATTACGTTATTATTTCTCATTAAATCAGGAAACACACCAGATTCGATACAAGTATTAAAAATAATAGCAAGATGAGGTGCAATTAAATCTATTATGGACGCAATAACTGTCACGAAAATCCCCCACAAATCTGCGGTTTTCTTTACATCAATGGTTCTGAAGTATTTTACAATATCTTGCGGTAATACTTTTTCAAATGTAAATTCTTTAAAACAGGTATTAACATTCTGTTTGAGTAATGACTCGGCGACAGTTGGAGAAGTATTCAATGACTCTGTTGTCAAGATAGGAACATCAGTGAAATATATCTCAAACACCGCTGCGAATTCTTGATTTGATTTAGTCAATTCCGGTTACCGGTTTGGGCAGCAGCGTCTTCCTAATAACGACTAAAAATAAAAAATAAACTGCAGTTGCCAACCCGCTTGCCAAGTGTGACAACTATGTCAAGTATCCACCTTATTAGGCAATTTATTGGGGGGGTGGTCTATTCAGCAGTGGACTTTAAAAGGCTTTAACGGTAAAAATTAGGTAACAGCTGTGGTAAAAGTAAATTAGACATGATGAAATCCGTAAAATTAGTCTAATGTAATATACATTGGATAGACTAATTTTACGGATTAACGAACCTAATTTGTACCTTTTAGTTACCTAATATTCGCGGGAATAACTTATTTCACGAAGTGCATAAATTCATTTTTATTTTGTGCCTGAAACGGAATTTAAAATATAATACTTGTGATTAAATTACATTACATACGATTTCTAGAGCGCAGCTTTCAACTGCGCGTGAGTTTTAAATTAATAAATCGTTAAAAGGTAGATTTAAGAGAACTTGAATGGTAATTGAAAAAACTTGTTTCACTTTACAATATTAAAATAGTTTTCTCTAAAAAAAATGGTTTAAAACCTGAAGCAAATTTATAAACGAACATAATTATATTCATACCAAGTAATGTCGTACAGAGCAAATTACAGTCATGGCGATTATTCTCACAGGGACTAGCTTTCGGCGCAGGACAGGATTATAATCATTGAGTTATATGTACTACGTACTAGAGAAGCCATTCCAAACAAAAATTCTCTATGTCTTCGCGCATGCGCGGGAGTAGTAGTCGCGCATGCGCGAAGACTTTAATTTGATATAAAATAAATATAAGAATTTAATATGAAATACTCCTATTTTAATCTAAACAAACATATTTCTAAATAAAATGTAATAATAATTATCTTATGGAATTCACAAATCTTCAAATAACGCAATATTTCGTTTGTACGGATTGAAGTACAGTTGAGTTGAACATAGTCAATGTTTGGAATGCAAAATCTAGTGCGTAGTACATATATATCGATGATTATAATGATATGTACGCAAGCTCAGGTGCACTGTCTATTTCTTCACTCTAACAATCTGATGGCATGCTAATCCATCAGAACTAGAGAGAGCTGTGAGCACAACGGTTTTACGTACTTTCCGAGGCACGGAGGTGAAATTGTTGTGAGAATTTCCTGACGGTAAACCCATCAGTCAGGATCAGCAGTCGCGTAAACGACCGACAAGGCAGTTCATAACAAGTAAAGAAGATGAAAAAAATGTGTGTCAATTGAAAAATAGATGTGAGAAATAGATAGAATAAATAGTACATTGGATAAAATTAAATTATCAAAATAATTACTCACTCCTCTGCGCTCGCAATAGCAAGATAAAAGATCAAGGCGATAACGCCACGGAGCGCCATCTTCGAAAACATTACTGTGCTCTGCAATCATCCCTACAAAATCAATTTACTTATATACTCTCAGTGGACGTTTGCTTCACTAGTGAAATACCGCAGGCTTGCTATCCTTATTATAATTTAATAGAGAATGCAACCACATCATTAAATGCCAAATATTTTTTGTCATCAAAAAATATTATTAAAAACAAAGAACTCTAGTGCAGTGTAGTGAATTAGCCAATTAGTTATATTTCATAAACAAACAAATGCGTAGTTGGCTGTGACAACAGCTTGATCGGACCGAACAACAATCCTACATACTGAGAGCTTCATATGAATAATGATTTTGTATAAAAATGAATAAAAATGTAACGTTCCGGTTCTTTGATAATAGTTGCATCAATACCCCTGGGAATAAGGTGGTCGCTTCCAAGCTGTTTCTTAAATGAGTGTTGTAAGTAACTGTACGATTTCTTTTCAAACAGGAGGGGTACTCAATTAGACTGCATGTTTTTTATATATGTTACCTCATAACTTTTTTCTGGGTGAACCAATTTCGATGATTCCTTTTTTATTTGTAAGCTGGTACTTCACATGTAGTCCCATAAAATTTTTATTAAGGTCTGACCAATAGTTTTTGAGTAATTCTTAATAATTTATTCTAAAGTCGGTCGTACAAAATTTTTAATTTTAAATTATATTGTTTATTCTAAACTAGCTGGTACACGGCACGTTGTTGCCACAGAAGAAACAATTGAGGGTATATTTTTTAAATTTAGACAAGTTATATAATTTAATTGAGAATGATAATACGTTCATTGCAGTTGAATAATATATATTCAACTTCCAAAAATTTCAAAGAAATTGTTGGTACAGTAAATTGTAGGCCTATAACCTTCGCGCAAGCACAAGTAAGTGCAAGCAACAAGTAGACAAAGTTTTGCCGCAATCTGATGAACTGTGTGGTAGCGCATAAAATACGAACAAACAAACATTAATTTTTATATATTAGATGTGCAAAAAAGTCTTGCTGAGTTTGTTGCTGATTCTTACCAGAACAAAAATTTTTTCCGAACCATTGATCTAAGTGAAAATTTCGGTAAGAATTATTTACAATCTAGTGAATATTGTATAAAAATATTCTATTCTATTCTAAAAAAAAATATTAGCTATTACACCCGGACGAATAGACGGATTATGTTGACATAGTAAATAATATTTACATGTCACGGTCATCCGTCCTGATAAGGAAATTAAAGGTTACTGCACATTTATCAATAACGTACGGGCTTCATTCCAGAACTAATTCTAACACTCCCATTCCGCCTCGAACGGCTATTCGCTCCGTACACGCCGTGTATTGAACAAGGCTAAAATAAAACGTTGATCACAGATTACAATAAATATGTAGCAAGCTAACGTAGATGATTTAATAATAATAATAATAATCGTTTATTTCCAATCACAATGGTACATTAAATAAAACATGCACATTTATTGTGTAATTTCTATGAAATACTTATTTCAACATTTGACCATTGTCAGAGAGCGGAACCTGTACTATGTCACTCTGTGTTACAGTGTTCCAACCCCCATACTCGGACTTGATTCATATATTGCCTATACTAGAATTATTTTGTGCGTGCAGTTTGGGTCATAAATCATAGGAGTATTTCGCTCTCTCTCCCACTCATGGGCCTTAGGGGCGAGCATAGTGATGCGCATTATTGTTGTCGATAAGCGTTATAGATGGTTTATTTAGTTATGTCATTATGTTAGTTAGTGATAAAAATGAAAAAAAAAATAGATAAAACAACGTATTTTTAAAACTAAGAATATGAATGATTTAAGATAAATTATTAATTAGGTATCTATGTATTAAAAAAAACTATAAGTACAAATGTTTGGAATGTAACAAGTTATATTAAAAATAAATATAAATATAAAGATTATTTACTTTATATATAAAATTAAATTAGTTGTTATCGCTAATGGCGTTGCGCCCGCGCAACACGCTCAGCGCCCTAGCCGGGCTCAGGCCGAGCTATAATTTATGACCCCAACTGCACGCACAAAATAATTTTACTATAGTACCATAATTGTAGATAAAAGTAGATAAAGAATATGTGTGTGTGTGTGTTTCTCTCTCTCTCTGCGTGTGTGTGTGTGTGTGTGTGTGTGTGTGTGTGTGTGTGTGTGTTATTTAATTATATGCATACGAAATCGAAACTACCACATTAATAATTCCTACTTATCGTTAAGAACTTTTCAAATATTTTATCATAATATGAAAATTTTATTTATATTCCATTCTTTATTGCATTGTTTTTAGCAGATCTTCTGTTTCAGAGTAAGATTTTAACTATAGGAATTTCGTAACTGTTTCTTTAGAAGTGTTTGGTTTAGAGTAAATATTCATAGCCTGATTAATTTTATTGTATAATAAAGTTCCCAAAAAGACATGTTGTCGTTTTGCAAACGGTGATTTCTCTTTAGGAATCCTGAATATTATATCTTTACGTCGTTTATTCATGTGAATAACGTGATCGAAAGATGTTTTGGCGTGGCTGTGTAATATTGACTTTAAGATATACAACTGTCGAACTGAAAGGACTCCCGTATTTGAGTTAATCAGAGAAGTAGAATATCTGTTCTGTAGGGTTTAAAAAGAATTACTATCAATATTACTCTTTATGCCCTTTCAACTTGCAGAATACTATTCTTAAACGTTCCTCCCCATGATGTTATGCAGTATGTAATCATTGATTGGCATAATGCGAGATAAGTTACTTTAAGTAACTTAAAGTCAGTAGCAGCTATTAGACGTTTAAAACATATATTAATTTGCGGATCCTTTTGGTGAGTGTCTCAACGTGATATTTCCAGGAAAGTGTTGAATCAATGTATACACCGAGGTATTTTATTTTTTGTAACTGTTCTATAGTAGTACACGTATATGAGCAGAGATCATGTTGGGTGGAATGTTGACAGGTGTGAACAACTATTTTAATATTAGATGGTTGAAGACGCAGTAATTTGGTAAAAGTAATGTACTTAGTCTTTTCCAAGTTAAGAGTTAATAAATTATGCTGTAGCCATTTCATAACTTGTCCCAGTTCATTTTCTACGTTACGTGTCAGTTGATCCTAAGATGAGCTATGGAATACTAAGGCCGTATCATCTGCAAAAGCGAACAATTTTCCTTTAACTAGTTTTGGGTTACACAAATCATTCACATAGATCAAAAATAAGCTAGGTTCAAGTGTACTTCCCTGGGAAACGCCATAAGAAATATATTGAGAGTCACTTATCACATCGTTAAATTTTACACGTTGGTATAATGATTTCTTATATTTACGCGAACACTACACATTTAAATAAAAATAATTTTACGGATTTTATCGCGTATATTAACTTATTTTACTTTCCCGACGTTTCAAGCACTTTACAGCACCCATGGTCACGGGGGGACTGAGGTGTATGACGTCCCAATGTCATAGTTAACCACGGCTACCTCCAGATTAAAAATTATTAATTTTTGTTCCGATCTACGCAGTATGAACTTACAGTATCATGAAGTCTTGCAGTTGTATGCTTGGGTTGGGATTTAATTTTATTAATTATGGGATCCCAAGCAGATGGTAGCACCCAGCCATATTCTCTATTGAAATTAGGATGTTTTTTGATTTCAATAGCCTCGCGAATCATCCTTGGAAGGAATCGGTGTTCTTTAGCGAGGATTTGTGGTCTATCAAATCTAATGTAGTGACGGGGGCGATCCTGTACGTGTTCACAGACTGCAGACTTCCCGGAGCGTCTATTCTTCACATCAGCTTTGTGTTCTTTAACGCGGGTTTTTATGGATCTTTTAGTTTGTCCTATATAAGAGAGACCACATTCACAATCCAGCTTGTACACTCCTGCATCTTGCAGAGGAATATTACACTTGACTGATGGTAAAAACTGACTAATCTTCTTCGGCGGCTTGAAATATGTTTTAATGGAAGCACGCTTCAAGATGTAGCCAATCTTGTCAGTGACACCTCTGACATATGGCAGTACAGCAGGCACTCGTTCGACTGTGGCCGGCTTCACTCGTTCACTGTGACGTAGGCGCGGGACCCGAAGCTTATTGTCGTGCAAAACTTTCTTGACGTGTTGGAGCTCGGCGGCCAGGTGTTTACTGTCACAGATCCCTCGTGCTCTCTGAAACAAAGATTGGCTACATCTTGAAGCGTGCTTCCATTAAAACATATTTCAAGCCGCCGAAGAAGATTAGTCAGTTTTTACCATCAGTCAAGTGTAATATTCCTCTGCAAGATGCAGGAGTGTACAAGCTGGATTGTGAATGTGGTCTCTCTTATATAGGACAAACTAAAAGATCCATAAAAACCCGCGTTAAAGAACACAAAGCTGATGTGAAGAATAGACGCTCCGGGAAGTCTGCAGTCTGTGAACACGTACAGGATCGCCCCCGTCACTACATTAGATTTGATAGACCACAAATCCTCGCTAAAGAACACCGATTCCTTCCAAGGATGATTCGCGAGGCTATTGAAATCAAAAAACATCCTAATTTCAATAGAGAAGATGGCTGGGTGTTACCATCTGCTTGGGATCCCATAATTAATAAAATTAAATCCCAACCCAAGCATACAACTGCAAGACTTCATGATACTGTAAGTTCATACTGCGTAGATCGGAACAAAAATTAATAATTTTTAATCTGGAGGTAGCCGTGGTTAACTATGACATTGGGACGTCATACACCTCAGTCCCCCCCGTGACCATGGGTGTTGTAAAGTGCTTGAAACGTCGGGAAAGTAAAATAAGTTAATATACGCGATAAAATCCGTAAAATTAGTTTTATTTAAATTTACACGTTGGGTTCGATTTTTTAGATAACTACCAAATAAATTTAAAGTGGTTCCCCTTATCCCTATTCTTTCCAACTTATTCAACAACAAAGGGACAGAGTCAGTATCAAATGCTTTAGCGAAGTCCAAGAACACTGCTAGACATTTGTTTTTTTTTGTTTTAATAGCG